TGGGAAAACATTAGTTTTACATTCGCCCTATCGTATATTGTTTCATTGCCATGGTTACAATCCCCTCCATGCATCATCAACCAACCAAAGGGTATACACTACAAGCCTGCCCCCTGGTCGTCAGCACACAGCCCCTCTCCCTCTCTGTGTCTAAAGTTCCCAACTGCTCCATCTCTCCATGTCATCTAGACCATTTACTCTTAGAAGTGTTTAATTCTTTTTCTTCATTACAGATTGATTAGCTTGGCTTTTATTTCTGGAAATTCCACAGCCCAAAACCCATAACAGAGGCACCCAGTGATAACTGACGACCCTAACATCTTAGTGGAATATCTGTTTATTTGGGGTGAGGCAGGAGCACACACAAGATCATAAAGCAACATCTCTTAGTTACTTATGCAGGGTATACGGATGGTCTATCACCAGTGAACTGATACTAAGCTCTCAGCTGGCTTCCATTTCAAGATAATAGGTGACCATGAAATATGATATCCCACAATAGATTTTAATAAATACTTTCAGAATTCGCTTCTGAATTTTAGAGGGGTACAGGGAGAGGAAGAGGAAATGGAGGAGAGAGAGGCGGTGTCACATAATCCCAAGGCTAAGGGCAGTCTGAGTCTTTAGGGGAGTTTAGCATCCTGGTAAGTTCTCCATTAAAGCTCTCTGATGTGGCATGTTAGCAGAAATCCAAGAATACGTACCATGCCCATTCTAATAACTACAGGATCAAAATGAGGTATACGGTAAGTCTAGCATATATGATTGGGAACAAGGCTTTGGAAGGGAGCTCAGAACTGCTGGCCTTAAAATGGCTGGGGATCCCCCTTGAGGCTGCTCATATCTTCTTGGGGATTTATCTCTATAATTCAGAAAGTTGCCACCAGATGGGGATGGTGACCAGTGATACAGTGGTGTGCAGGGGGCTCATGGAACCCAGACTAGAGAGAGTAGGCTTTGAATTTCAAGAGAATATGGACTCATCTTTTGACTGGAAACTATTGGCAGTAGAACCCTGGGCAAATTATTTTTAATCCTCCTAACTATCCATTTCCTCAGGTGAAAGGAGAACAGTACCAACACTTCAGAGGATTGCTGAGAAGTGAATGAAATGATGTGTGTGCAGAGCTTGGGTACAGTACCTAGTGGTTGGAGCACCCCTTCTTTGAGAAGCAGCACAAAACAGAAACCAGTACACTAGGCTCCCAGCACAGCACCATCAATGACTAGATGTGTGACCTTTAGCACGTTATATAAAGATTCCAGGTTACAGTTTCCATATCTAATAAATGGGGTATTAATAGCTTTCTCATTGAAGTGTGGGGAACATTTGTAAAGTACCAGTCACACTGTCTGGCATATACGTAGTACAAGCTTAAGCAGTTGTAGCTACTTTCCTCACATTCACGTAATGATTTCATAGCATTCACGTCATTTAATCTTCCAAACATTTCCACCGCTGTTAAGGTATTCAGGGCAGATGCTATTCATCAATCAATCAGTCAAGAATGACTTATTGAGCACCTTCATGAATTGAAAAGCATATTTCAGAAATTGATGGGATACCAATAAACAAACCCATGGACAACTGACTCAATGAGGTGTCCACCAAGTTTACGATGGCCCTGGAGATCTCTCTTCAACTAAATAAAAAACGTGAGCCAAAAGGAGAACAATTAAGTCCAAAATAATGTGGTACTGATGACAAATTAATAAGAAAGGCAAAAAAAAAAGACGGTACTATCAAAGAAGGCTTTGTGGAAAAACTGGGGCTTGAAGAACAAGGAGAGGTTACATTAGCATACAGTGGGGACAGGAAAATTCCAATAATTGGGCTCAAAGGGAGGGGAAGTCTAGAGGTAGGATACAGCCCCACGGGCCACAGAGCAACGAAGAATGCTCCCAGCATTCACTTGTTTCTGTAATTGTTCAGTTCAGTTGACCAATTTTTCACTTCCTTTTGACTCTGTACAAGCATTTTACAATTGATTTTCCTGTCTATATGTTCCCTATTGGTTGGAACCCACCAGAAGCGCCATAGGATAAAGACCTGGCCATTAGCTTCCATAAAAACGGGTGTTGTTAAGTACCATCGAATCAGTTCCCACTCATAGCAACCATACGAGGAGTGACTGGTGGGTTTGAACCACCAACCTAGTGGTTAGCAGTCCAGTGCTTATCCTACAGAGCCACACCAGGTCTCCCCCCAAAAGATTACAGCCTAGAAAAGCCTGTGGGACAGCTTTACTCTGTGACATGGGTTCGATATGCATCAAACTCAGCTTGATGGCACTCAACAACAGCAACATGCATTAGGCATGGCTCTGGTGCTGTTACGTGTGTTAACTCAGAGTTCACTTTATTCTCCCAAACTTATAATAGTTGTTAAGTGCCGTAGAGTCAATACTAATCCATAGCGACCCTGTATAGGGTTTCCAAGGAGCAGCTGGTGAGCTTGAACCACCGACCTTGTAGTTCAAATAACTTTGCTATCTGACGCATTAGCCCACAGAGCCACACCAGGACTCCTTATAATTAGGTACAGTTATTATCCTAATTTTAAAGGTGAGGAAAACAAAGCACAAAGAGGGTAAGAGAGTCGTCCAAGGTCCTGGCTATGGGCCAGGTTTCATAGCCAGGCAGCTATAGCCTATCACACTACCACAAGTCTTTCAGGCAATTATATTCTGGGACATAAATGAACCCTTTGAGTGAATCCTACTTTATCCCAGTCTCAGCTGCAGCACGATGCTGATACAGAAACAAATGCAAGTCCTTATAAATATGAGAAGGAATAGCTAAAAGGGAACAACAGACAGTTCAGCAAAATGATCACTTATTAAACAAGTTTGGGAAGAATCAGCTGGTTTTCCTATTAGTCCTGTCTGCTTCACCACCTCAGTGACTTGGAATGGGTACTTCCACTCCCTTAATTTGGACTGCTAATTGTCGTCGGTTTGTTGTTGTTGTTGTTAAGTACCGTGGAGTCGGTTCCGACTCATAGTGACACTGCACGGGTTTCCGAGGCTGTAAATCTTTACGGGAGCAGAAAGCCTCATCTTTCTCCCGAGGAATAGCTGGTAGTTTCAAACTGCTGACCTTGTGGTTGGCAGCTCAACTCATAACCACTATGCTACCAGAGTTCCTATTGTCATCGGTAGGCAGTGTCAATTTGGTCCTGACTCATAGCGACTCTATGCACCATAGAACAAAACAGATTTGTGCCATCCTCACAACTGTTGTTATGCTTGAGCCCACGGCTACTGGCACTGTGTCAATCCCTCTCACTGGGAATCTTCTCTTTTTCAGTGAGCTCCACTTTACCAAGTATGATGACCTCCTTCAGGGACTGGTCCCTCCTGATAACATGTCCGAAATATGAGATACAAAGTCTCCCCATCCTGACTTCTAAGGAGCATTCTGGCTGTATTTCTACAGTAGTCACTAGCCACATATAGTCTTTTAAGTTTAAATTAATTAAGTGAAATAAAATAAAAATCTCAGCTCAATTGTACTAGTTACATTTCAAGTGTTCAATAGTCAGATGTGGCTAGTAGATACTGTACTGAACAGTGAAGGTACAGAATATTTCCATTGGTGAGTTGGGCAGCTCTTTCTGTTCTGGCATTTCAGGTCCCTTCTTGCTCTAGTATTCTATGGTTTTATGAATGGAGAGAGGGTAAGAATGAGTAGTAAAAAGATCTTATCTTTAGAGATGCAAAAACTGAAACATCAATGAAATTAAAAACAAAAACAAACAAACAAACAAAAAACTCAGACAGTTCTCTTACAAGGATGACGTCTCATCTTTTGTCTTCACAGTCCAAAGGCAGAATTGTGTGTGATGAACACAAGTATAAATTAACAAGGGAAGTCTTTTGTACTTTCACAATACGGTTCTTTGGTAGACAGCAGGCAGACTATCTTAAAGTCCTACTTCTCCTCTTTAACTGAACTAAAGGCCAAAGGATTATAAATGTCCCCCCAAATAATAGTTGCACATTCTACTGTGTTAACAATGAACCTACTTCTCCTAGTTTATGCCACGACATCCTGGGTCAACTGTCACCTCAGTGTCTCCACTCAGGTCACTGACAGCAAGTGAGTCTGGCAAGGGCCAGCCCTTCAGGGAGCATGAAGGAAAATCAATTCTAATCGGTCTTCAGCCTTGAAGGCGGAGGTCTGGCTTTCCTAATGCAGCCAGCCAGGAAAGCCCAGTCTGCTCAAAGCCCAAAGGACATAATGAAGTACTGCCTAATGGGAGATTCACAGAGCTGGCTTGATTTATATTTTATTGTAAACCAATTTAGGGTAGATGCACAAGAAAGGAAAACATCTTTGAAGTTCTGAAAAACAGGACTTCAAAGATGTTTTCCTTTTTCCTTCATCAAATCTACTTTTTTAGACTGTTTCCTGCATGTCTAAACAAAAAAGCCTTTGTTGAGAGATTTCAGATCCTGATTGACTTAAAAGAGGCTTTGAAATCAAGGGACAATTAAATTTACTCTTCTCTATATAGATGAGGGCATGGCATTCACTACTGTCAAGCATTGCAGGGAATCTATCCTCATAAAATTCTACATTTCCTAAATTAAGTTATAAAGCTATTTTCCCTGGGAGAGAGAGTTTTAATCACATGGCCCAGCAAATACAATTATGGTTTAGATGTCTTTTAAGTACTTTCCCTCTAAAAAATTCTAATAGTGTTATCTTTAGGTGCCCACTAACTTTGCCTTGTGTTTATTATTTCTCAGGGAAATAGAAAGGAAGCATATAGGCTAAGAAGTCTTGTTAACAGCTCTAAATGCTAGAAACAATCAGAATAGGGAAGTGTTAAATATGAACAGCTCTCCTTATAGCAAAGATGCCAAACAAGGCATTTATTTTCACACAGCCTCAGATGACATAGAGCTAACTATATGAATTCGGAGGTTTCTTTGCTTTAACTTACCTGAAGAGCGGACTATCACAGCATACACAGTGATACATTCCAGGCTCCTTGTTATTCAGATAGATTCCACTGAAAGGCTGAAAGCAAAGGAGATACACCGTGTTCAGCTTTCTCGTGACAGCAGCAGAGATGATACAGAGATAAGCCCCCAAAACAAGGAATCTCTGTACTAATTTGACAAAGTGCAAATATCACCAGAGAGTAAATTACACTGCACCCCAGGAAGCAGCCTGCAGGCATATTTACAACCTGGCCTTTATTGTGCCAAATATTCTAATTATGAATTAATAATGCTTTGTGTTTAGATAGCAGCTTTCATCCAAGAACATCAAAGTCTGCTGAAAAGCAAGAAAACAGAGTCTTGTCCTCTGCAATGGTGTGAGATTTCAGACTCCATTCCAAAAGTCTTCACTCAATAGGAATCTAGTCCACTTTTAAAATAGTTTGAAATTTCCAATTAAAGATAGAATATACATACATAAGAAGCACAGATCAGAGAGATCAGGGTTGTGCCTTTAGTATGCTTCATGGCACTGTAGGATAAGCACTGGACCACAAAGTCGGTTTAAAACACAAGGCCAGTGGTTCAAATCTACCAACCGCTCCTTGGAAACCCTATACATGGTCACTATGTATCAGAACCAACTCGACAGCACTTAACAACAACAATATTGTGTTTAGCTCACTGGACACTTAATAAATGCTAAGCAATATGCTAAATTCTCCCAGTGCTTAACTTGTTGTTGTTGTTGTTAAGTGCCGTCGAGTCGATTCTGACCCATAGCGACCCTGTATAGGGTTTCCAAGGAGCAGCTGGTGAGCTTGAACCACCAACCTTGCAGTTCAAAT